TGTCTCAAATATGCAAAAGAAACTGAATATTTCCATTTAACAAACTATAACATCATTCTGCTTTCTGTGTAGCATCTGGGTTACCTGCCACCATCACATGCTTCACCCAGGCGTCTGCAGAGGTATGCATGCTGATGTGTAAGCCTTCCTTGATCTGTATTCTTGTCTGTTCTCGTGCACGCATCAGTCATCGTACTGCTCCATTACAGTCTAAATGGCTATTTTATCAAGGACATTTCTGAAATTGGCTTGTGTGTATCCTAAAACTTCTTTTCTAAATTTATCTAGTCATCTATGCAGCTACCTGCCCGACTCCTGAGATGAATGTCCAGCCATGTCTGACTTTATCCCAAGGAGAACGGCCTCATCTCAGCTCTAATACCTCTGTGATGATTTTATATGCACTATAACAAAAACATTGATTAACTTAAAGTATATGTTTCTGTCTGTGGATCCCTGTATGTACACAGTTGACAACATTTCAGTAAAGTCAGTGAGTAGAGTCAGTGCTGCGTGTATTTAATAAATTTTTTTATTGTTTAACAGGCTTTTAACTGCATCTCACAGTCAACTGGATTAGATTTAGGATATTTTTTGGAGCAGCCTAGAAAGCTGAGCTGGTGCTGTCCTCCTTTTTTCCAAATCACTGTGACAGTAAGATAATTATCAACAAAAACAGCTTTTTATTTATAGTGATAAACACACTGCACCCTCTGAATCGTCACTCACAATTTTTCCACATTTTAGTGCCAACATTTTCCTGTAAACATTACAGAGCACAAAACACAGAGGCGTGGCTGAAACAGTGAGAACTACATTAACAAATTGGGTGAAGTGGTTCCTTCCTGAAACAAACACAACTGTTTCTGATATCGTTAGGCAGCGAGGCAGACACAGAGGGGAGGCAATGGCACAAAAATGCAAATTTCAACGAGAAATTTGAGGTTTCAGGATAGACTAAATAGGTCCGAAAAGGGCAGAACGTGCCTCAAAGCGGCATTATTTTTAATGGCTGACCGGAAAAAGATGTCGCGCTGTATTGAAGTGTATGAAAAAATGGCCCTCTGCAACATTTATTATCAAAAGGGAGCTGAGCCATAAACGAGCATATCAACATTATGAATAGGTATAAATAATTAAAACTAGTCTGCAGTTACTTTGTATGATTATTTGGTTTTTTAACTTCGCATTTTCATAACAATAATGTCACATTCATGTTGAATTTATAACATTATAGAACTAGGATAATAAATTTTAGTTAGTTACTTATTTTTATTAACCACTTAAGAGAACATTTGTGAAGTGAAGGAAAATTAATTTGTTTTAAGTAAAAATACCTGTTGGTAGCGGAAGCAATCAAATTGTGTTTATTATATTTATTTCCATATACAGATTAATTTTTTTATCAAACCCAGAGGGAGGCACTGGACATGGGCAAAACAGCCACAGGTTTCTGGCCTCTGATCTATGACCTCATTAAAGAAAATGATTTCCTGATGACAGTATGGCCTCAATGGCTACTTTTAAGTCATACTGAATACAAAATGATTTTAATTTGTAAGTTATAGTAAAATTAAAGCCAAAAAGAAATATACACTGGGTCATACGCAGTCCAAATGGTCACATCACAGTGGCTGCATCCATCTTTGTGTCTCTTTTTTTTTTAAACTTTGTTTCATTTAGAGGCCTAAACTAGCTAAGAGGTTTTCATACATAAACTCTGGACAACATCAGGAGTATTCGGTCAGGACATTACTGCTGAGAATCCCGAGGAGCTGAAGTTGTGTTTGTTGCTTGCAGCTATTTGAGAAGTCTTTAAAAGGTATCACATATTTGCACCTTTGCCTAAAGCAGTGGTTCTCAAACTGTGGGATGTAGAACCAGGGGAAAATACAAAATGAAACTAATTGGAATTAAGAGTATGCTAATG